GGTTGTGTATGCGGATATTTAGTTTTCGTCGACTATTCACATCAACTATCAGTTATTTTATGGAGATTTTAATAATATGTATCAATTTGTTTACATTTCTATCAATCGATTCTGTGACATCGTTTGTTCGTTGTAGAAGATGCAGCGCTTACGCGCTTCGATATTTCATCTCTATGCACCTAAAGCAGTAGGATTGCTTTGAAGAAAAGTTCAAAGTTTCCAAAATATTTCAAAATAAAAAAAACATTTTTTTCAAGTTTTTTTCAAAAAAGTTAATTTTTTCAAAAATGTAAGATTTCTCAAATCTATTTTTTTTTTCAAAGTTAAAAAAAAATTAAATCTTTTTTTAAAAAAAATAATTTTTGGAACGGAAATTCCAGCAGTTTGCCTTTAGGCACGATAACATACACCACTAGTTTCTAATAGTTTCCATAAAAGTCAAAGAAAACCATGTTTAGCTGATCGGATTCCGAACATGCGCACTTCATATGCTTTCACAGAAAACCGTTTTAAGTTTTCATCTGTTTCTCGTTTAAAACGAAAAAGCCATACCTTTTGGTATGGCCGCGTTTGTGTTATCAGTTTTTTTTCATAAATACGCCTGGAGAAGTGTTTATTTTTTAGTTATTTCAGGCTTAGTCAATCAAACAACAATGAAGATGAAAAATGTCACAGTCGGCAAAAGTATCCGAAGCCAGAAGGTTTTTTCACAATTTGTAAGTTTATTCAACTCAAATAAAAGTTCGACTGTGCTGAGGCATGTTTTAACATATTGAATTTTATTCAGACCTTCGGGGAAATTTATACAGTGATATAAATTCCATGAACATAAATTTTCATAAATAATGTGAATATGTTAGCATTTAGAAACTCTCTAGAGCATGAAGATATATTGCAGCATTCTACCTATTGATATTATACAAGCAGCATGATTAGACTAAAAAAACAATTTTCCTATAAATCATTTTTTTCTGTTTTGAGAAATGAATTGAGTACATCCAGTGTAAAGTAAGTATGCATTTATTTATTAATTGCATTCAGTAAAGGTAACATAATATAATCTCTGGGATTTTCATAGGGAACCACGACCATTTAATGAAATACCAGGACCAAAGCCGATTCCTGTTCTTGGTACATTATGGATGTACTGGCCTATTATAGGTAACTAAATACATGTATATGATGTCAAGCTCACTTATTAAGCTCTCAAATCATACATATGCCGATATCAACTTTAAGATTTTATATGAACATATTAACTAAATTTTTTTATTGTTCATTATTGCGTATTCACTGTTGAAAACTTTAATTTTTTTATAGTTTGTTACCCGAAGTCACATAATATCATTTTAGTTAATAATAATAATAGTTTAAGTTTGCTAGTATTTTATTTAATAATTCAATAGTTAATAATATAGTTTAAAATGCTTTAATAATATTGGAATTCGATGAATCAAAATAAAAACATTAAATTCTAATTTAATTAATAAACAGTACTTTTTATTATTAAATTGCTTGTTTTTAGTAATGATGCTTACCTTATATTAAAACAGTTACATGATTATTTTCACTTTCAGTTATTAAATTAAATAAGACTTATTATTTGTTGTGTACAATAATATGTATGTGTAATACATAAATATATTTAAACTTAGGAATAATAAAATTGCAAATATGTGTAGATAAATATTTTTGTTACTATATTGTTGCAATCATTACATTTTATATAAACTAAATTATGAAATAATATTATAGGCAAATATCGATGGTCTGCCCTTCATCATACTGGTATGAAGAAGTATAAAACATGGGGTTCTTTAATCCGTGAACCTGTTGCACCTGGTGTAACCTTACTGTGGGTTTATGAGCCTGATGATATTGCTACTATTTTGAGGGACGAAGGACAAAACTTTTTTCCTGAACGTAGAAGTCATTTAGCTTTACAAAAGTTTCGTGAGGACCGTCCTCATGTTTACAATAGTGGTGGATTACTTCCAACGTATGTCTTTGAATGCAAACTCGATGAATTAAAAAGCTAAGAAATTAAATCAAATGTTACAAATCTCAGTGTACTTTTGTGAATCAGGGAATATTTCTATAAATCCTATCCATTATGTTATCAATCAAGTTCTTGGTTTGAATTTAATTACTAAAATCCACATGCATAACAAGATTTCTTAATTCAACAGTACATGTATGTCTACTTTTTGAAGTATAATTATTGATAGTCTTTCATTATATATATATATATATATATATATATATATATATATGAATTTCTTTTATTTAAATCATATATATTTTATGTTACCTCTTTCAATTGAAATATTACATCTCATACACATCTTAATACCTTTTCCAGTTTTTTAACTGTTCTAAGTTTTTTTAGTGGAAGTAATAATTATTGAATGTGCTTGTTAGCAATGGAGCAGAGTGGTGGAAACTACGCAGTGAGTTTCAGAAAGGTTTAAGTGCGCCACATTGTGCTCGCCAATTTTTTAAATCTGCTGATCAAATTACTTCAGAATTTTGTCATCATATCAATGAAATAGCTTCAGATTGCAAGGACTTTTTACCAGAGATATCCAGATTAAACTTGGAATGTAAGTACAACGAAGTTTGTAAAAGTGTAAAACAAATATGATAGCCGAGTATGTTTTATGGGAAATGAACAAAAAAATTTCAATAATTGAATGTTCTTCATCAGCAAATTTGAAACATTCACCTTTTTTTGTTTATATATTTATATTATATATTCATATTATTTTTTTATATGTTCACTATTTTTATACATTTTTAAATAACATTTAATATTTTTTGCATTTTTCTAGTGGTATGTTATATGGCCTTTGATACTCGCATGAACAGTTTTTCTAAAGAAGAATTAGATTCTCATTCACGTAGTTCAAGGTTGATAAAAGCTGCAGAAGATACTAATAGTTGTATACTTGGAACTGACCAAGGCATTGGTTTATGGAAATTTATTCCCACATTGAAATATAAGAAACTTGAAAGGGCTCAAAAATATATGGAAAGGTGATATATTAAAATCAATTTATTATAATTTAAAGTAAAGTTAAGTTATCATATATGCAATTTCTTTCAGTGTTGCTGTTGATTTAGTATCTCAAAAATTTTCTTATTATACAGATGCTACAGCAGCTGAATCAGGCTCTAAATCCCTATTAGAAAATTATATATATAATCCAAAACTTGATTTTCGGGACATTATTGGAATGGCTGCAGATCTCTTATTAGCAGGTGTTGATACGGTATATGAAATTTGCACTTTTCATATTAAAATTGTATATAAAGATAGGAGATTTAATTTACCTCTTAATTTTTGGATTCAATCAGATTTCTATATTTATTCTAATTATTGTCATTGAAGACCAAATACTGACCAATCACTTAGTTTTTCTCTTATAAATTTCAGACATCTTATGCTACTAGTTTTGCTCTTTACCATTTGGCTATAAATCCTCATGTGCAGGAAAAACTATATGAAGAATCCCTCAAAATTCTGGAGACTAAAAATTCTCCAATGACACTTGAATCATTTCAAAATGCTTCTTATGCACGTGCTGTGTTAAAAGAATCTCTTAGATTAAATCCTATATCTGTAGGTGTAGGAAGAATAATTAAGAAAGATACTATATTGTCCGGTTACCACATCCCTGCCGGTGTAAGTATAACTATAAATAATTATTATTCATAATAATTAGTAGTAGTTGATTAATTTTATTATACATATATCTTTTTTTAATATTTTACTGTTTTGATGGTTTCAAAGATAGCAATAATCTGAATGTTTGAAAAAAATTATTAAAAATGAATTTTCAAATATTATTATTTATTTGCCTTAAAATATATAATTATATATTGCATGTAAGAAATACATTTCAATGCTTATTGAATTTTATGTATAAAAGTTCATGTAATAACTTATTTAGATCGAAAGGGGTATAAAGTGGTAAATAATTATAGTCTATTTAACAGACTGTTGCTGTTACACAAAATCAAGTAATATGTCGTCTAGAGAAAAATTTTCCAGAAGCTGACAAGTTTTTGCCAGAAAGATGGTTAAAATCAAATAAGAGTGTTTCAAGAATGAGGAATAAAGATTCACAGAATTTCACTAATGAAATAAATAAATTTGACATTAAAGATACATTCCAAGTACCTCATCCGTTTTTATCACTTCCATTTGGATATGGAATGAGATCCTGTGTGGCTAGAAGATTTGCTGAACAAAATATTCAAGTGCTTCTATTACGGGTATTTATTTTAATTTTTCTCTTACTTTAGAACTAAGTGGGTAGAGAGATTGTCTTTTAGTTTAGCGTTTTCCTCAAGTATAACTCTCTTAATATTCAATAATTTAGATTTAGAAATTCATATACATACACACACACACACACATATATATATATATATATATATATATATATATATATATATGTGAGAATCAGTCTTCATATCCATTTATATAAACTGTGAAAACTCACTAATTTGGCACTTTGATAGACCAACACCCTTATCCACCAAAGTCATTTTGAAATTTTTCTGCTATTTTCAATATCGTATATTAAAAATTAATTTGAATGCATTATAGCTCATATATAATTTTATCACTGCATTAATATCAATCAGATAGGTGTGCAATAAATGTTTCTATTTTTTTATATTATAAACAAATATCTATGACTTACTATAATGCAGTAACCTGGCACTCATCTGGTTTTTAGTAGTGCCGGATTAGTGTGATTATATGTATGAACATAATTTTATTTATTATAGAGCATCACATATCATTAATTGCCTATTCCTTTCTTGTCTATTACTATTATTTGTATTTCAGGTATTCATGTTTTTATACACTGACATATGTTTTTCTTTCCAAACTTCTGCTTCCATGCTTTCCGGTTCTTTGCTTTGGTTTTTAGTTGTTTATATTTTCTCCTTTTGCGTAAGTCATCAATCATTTGCATTTTTCTTCTTCCTAGACCTTTTAATCCTTTTTACTTTCAAGGATGTTGTAGTAGTTACTCTTTTTGCAATTGGATTGGACCCATGTTCAATCCAGTGTCCTTTCCTTTTCATGGTCATGCTCCATGAATTTTTGTTTGCTCTCTACCCTACATTTTTCCATTTGTTATATTATTTGTCTACTTTATTTTTTTCATTCCTCTTCATCACAACATTTCAAATCCCTCCAGGTAGTCTTTCTTAGCCTATGTCTCAGACACATACATACAACATTCATTGAATATTCAGCAAATTAATCAACTAGTACTCTTATCATAAGATATTTCAGATAAATATAATTTCTATTTATTTTTAGTTAATCAGAAATTTCGAAATCAGTTGGGGTGGAACAACATTAGATTCGAAGACCTTCCTAATTAATAAACCCGATCAACCACTAAATTTCAAATTTCGGCTGCGATCTAATTGAAATTAAAGTTTGGTTACACATATATTGTCTCATACCTTCTGAGGTTTTATTGTTTTGACTTTTATTCTGATCTAAATAAAGGACCTTGCTATACATTGCATTTATTATAATTTCACCATAAACTAGTAAGAGTTTTTTGGGAGTTGATATTGAACACATACTTCGATATTATATTATATTGCTTGTAGATCTATATTGCTGTGCTACATATTTTCAAGACACCTTCAAAGGGTCTTTTTTTTTTTCTTTTCATTCATATTGTTCGCCTATGTTTTATATTATTTATGGATTATGAATTAGGCAGATGCACTGTGATAAGGTTTTCAATGTAAAGAATTTGTAATGGGGTTAATATACATATGTAAAATAAATTCCAAATGGGGCATATTATTGTACACATGATACACATTGATTGATTTACTCTTTGTGTTACGAATTTGTGTCAAATATTAACATGCATTTCAGAGTGAACCTAATTTCTTTTATATAATCCCAGGAGGGAGAGTACGAACTTAGTTTATACTATGATACTACGATATTCAATAGAATAACTTTCCAAAAATTTTATAAAAACTTTATTGTAACAATTTTTGGCTTTTCTACGGGTTAGAGAATTATTTGTTTCTTCCTATGAGATAATATTTAAAAATAATAAGTTAAATGATTTTTAAGTTATCTGAGAGTTTAAGTTAAATGATTTTAATTATGCTTTAGTGTGGTAATATTGTTAATATCGCTTAAGGGTTTTGTCTAAAAGTTTGCTTATGTGTACGACTATCATCATCGAATTGGTTATTGTCTCAAACCTATCAATACCTTATGGTGATGTAACATAGTTTTAGGCAAATTTATTATTGTTATATTATATACTATATATAGTTATATTAGATTTTTTTATAGATAAAATTACATTCGCAAAAAACACTTGCGCTACATTATATAGTTATGCAATAGATTTTAGTATATTATGTTTCCGGCACGCAGATTGAAAACAGAAACTTTCCGATAAATAATTATTTGTTTTAAATGCAGTTTTTTAAATAAATATACGTTATATAGCTAAACTAACGAGGTTAGACTAATTTTTTGCTAAGCTGGGTGAATTTCTTGAGCGGCCATATTCAAATTTTAGATTTTCTGTTCAACTAAAAATAGGTAAGATATAAACTAATTGAAGACTACAGGTACAAAAGTAGCAGAACATTGTGATTGTAAGCATATAATCATATATAAATTACTACAACGTTTGTTTAAACTCATACTCTTGCTCTATAATGGGACTCAAAATTGATGGTAAAAACACAGAACATACATATCCGCAAATCATTTATTCGGCGATGTACTGATGTTTGTTGCCTGTGCCGTCTAACGTCATGTGATGACTTTAATTCATTCTAATCCATCATAATTTGCCTATATACTGCTAAGACAAAAATTATGCACAGGTTTCATTCTGCATCTTGTTTTTCCCATGAACTATTATAAGACAAAAAATTATACACATAATTAAATGTTGTGCAATTTTATATGTGTGAGTTATGATACGGCTGATATGGTTTCGTGCAGGCGCCAAAGAAAACAAGCGCGATTTATTAAAAGGATGTTTTTAGTTATTTTTACCTGTGCGATCCTTTTTACTGAATATCTACGTAAATCACTATTATACCTGAGAGCTTTCATGGCATAAACATGTCTTACACGTGTTGGCTAAGCCCAACAGTCAACGAATATATGTTATATTCCGTCATTGTATCCTCGGTTTAAAAAATTCCTTCTGGCGGGCTTTTCAGTATTATTTGCAATAGTGCTACTCAGTTCTATACCAACAATTATAATGCATTATAATATCTGTATTCCGGAATCCCTTTCTTTTTAAATGTGTTATTTTCTTTTCCTATTATTTTCTAATATCTCGTGTTTGATTCCTTGACGGCCGAGGTACTATTAACAAATATTATTATAATTTTGATTATATTTCTGTTTATTTACTGTGATTCTATTTCGTATGGTTTACTACCTTCTATTTTTAATCTCATATTTCAACGTAGGTTTCGACTCGTAAGTTGCAGGCGGAATTGCTTCTCGAGTGTAAAACCATTGATTGATCCGATGTAACTATTCCAATCCTTGATTTTGGTTGTATTTGTCTAATTATATAATTAATTATTAAAGCATAGTTTTTATGAACGGATGTCTTAAAATACATTGTGCTTGTTTGATTTTCTTAATATTTCGCTTAGAAGAAGATTACAATGATGTTTATCAGTATAATACTCATTTCATAAACATCGAGAAATCCAGGTGTAGTTTACTGTTTAGATTGCTGATTGCAAGAACCGATAAACTTCCCGTTATGAATAAACACATTAAACAATGATGTTATATTAAATTTTACAAATAATCCAATTCTTAAACGAATTAAAGACTCATATTGCATCGGATGTAAAAAAAATAAGCAATTGTAATAATGAATATGTTGAATATTAGCATTCCTTAGAATCATTTTTAACTTCCTGTAGAGTAGTTTTAGTGATGGGCCGAAAATCGAAAATAATTTTTTTTTGCATATCTTCACGTTTTCGCACTGAACATTTTGGCATACCTCAGAAAAAATGGATGTGTGTGTGTGTCTTTTGTATGTCCGCATTTTTTCGGCCACGTTTTCGGGCGCACGGACCAACCGATTTGTATGGTTCAAAAAACATTAGATTCCTATTGATAGAGAGATGTGCTGATTAATTTATTAACAAAGACTGGCATCCGATTTGAATGATTCAAAAAACTTTCTGCTTGTGAAATTTGTTTTTTAATTTCTTTTTTTTTAAAAAATGTTTTTTGTATATCAAAAATAATTCAGATTTTAATTTTAATTCTTGCTAAAGTTCTAAAGCTCACTTATATACTTAAATAAATAATTCTAACTTTGCAATTCAGTTTATATAATTCTTATAAATATTAGACAATGTTACAGTATTTATTTATAATAATCTAATTGAAAACATTTAATATTCCTCGAACATTTCGTTACAGTACGGAAAGTTCCAGCAATTTGCCTTAAGGGACGATGCCATATACCACTAGTTTTTTTTACATTTTCAAATACAACAAAGTTGTATTAAAGACTTGTTATGCAAAATGTTCTATTGCCTTTCAAAGCCGTCAAGAGTAAAAATTCAAGACGTGTTTTTTACACAATTTATTTCCACAAGCGTCATTACGACGCAAGATATAATATTTGTGCACTAATTATATTTCGAGTTTAACTTAAAAAGTATAAATTGACTAATTAAATTTATTCAATAACTGCAAGGAAAATGTAAAAAAATTAAATGGTAATGGACCATTATATCTTGAACTTTAGAAATAATTATCTGTGTTATAATTCTAATTTTAAACGCTGGAATTGATTATTTAATCTGAAATACGGTCGAATAAATTACTAGATCTGTATCGTTTATAATTTTTATATTTTTTTTGTAAAATCTGTTGTTTTTAATAACTGTATTCATTTGTGTGATTAGATAAAAATTTTCATTTGTGTTTAATGAAAAAATTTGGTTAGATTATATTCTAAGATGATATTCTAAGAATTTTTCATCTTGATTTTTTTCATGTTTTACTACGGTTTTGGTACGTGTTCCGCACTATCCAAATCCTAAAAATACGCCTATGTGGTAGAAATTGTTAAATTAAAAAAATAGACTAAATTATTGAAATAGGAAAATAAACTAAATATTTAGATAATTACATTTTATTTCAAAATGTATTGCTTTGATTCAATTATCGACTTCAATAATCAAACACTGGTTTAAAAATCTCATGTACTTAGCAGTTAAAAAAAACTCATTACTTGAACAACCGACCGGAGAATATATTTCAAATATTATGAACAAGTTTAAATCTATAAATTTGTTTAAATCGTCTTTCTCCTTTCATAATTCCAGTCATTTTCATATTTATGGTTGCTGACGGAATATAAACGGGATTCCTTTTAAATCCTTTGGGAATGGAATCATAAAAAACGGAGATTAATGATCTTATTAATACTTAACATACTTAAAAAATATATAAATATCTTGGTTTTATGCTAGGATACGAGATCTCATTCATGATAGGCGTGAAGCTACTAGGAATATTGAGAATTCCATTCGTTTTATATGAATAGGGTAACACGGTAATTAATTTTAATACATTGGGCTAGACTTTGAAAAGTAGTAGTGAACTTGTGTTTAATGAAATCTATTTGATGTTAAATTGTTTTAATAAACGTACATTTTAGGTATTTATAGGTCTCAATAATATAAATTGTTCTATTCATTTTAATTGTATTCAACTTCGCTGTCGAAAACTATTCATATGCTCGAGTATTTTATGATAATGTATTTTCTATCTTGGTATGCGAAAAAATAAATTTATGTGAATTATTACAGTACTAATCTATTACGCGGTTTGTAATTTGCGCATTTGTAATGAATATATTAGTACTGTAAATCTATTAAATACTTTTATTTTGATTACAAGTATAACTAGTTGGTATTGCTATTTTGTCTTGAGGCATTTACATGAACTTCCCGATATGTGTAAATAATCGACTTAATCAATAAAATATAAGTTAATTTATGAGTGATTTGATAAAAAGTATTTTGAGTGGATTTATCACACATCATTGAAAACGTACGAACACTCTTTCGGTATACCAAGTGAATCGTCTAATTTTAATTTTAACAAACATAAAAAAACTACTCATTTTGTCAAACTTTGATGAGTTTTTAAAATTAAACTACTTGTCGTAAGGCCGTAATATTTCAGTATGTTCTATAATACTATGATATACATCGTCAGAAAAAGTTCCATGAAAATCGTCTTAATTTTTTTTTCAACAGTTAGCGGCTAGGTAGATTTTCATCTAAAACTAATCAGTATAATTCACAACTAATATCTTTCGAAAATTTTTGATTTTTTTCATCGATTCGGTAGTAAGTGTTTAAATGTGGACGAAAAGTTTAACACTATTTTCCAAATTACCAAGAAACGGCTTGGCAGATCGTCGCACAAAACTGACAAACGATATAGTCATCATGAGCTATATCAATTGGCTTTTAAATTCCTGAAATCAAT